CACAATTGATGTGTGTATGAATGGATTGTGATGAGAGTTGTATGAGCCCCTAATAAAACGATTTTAAAAAAAGATTAACCCCAATGTATCACAAACAAGAGACCATTCTAGAACAATATTCTGTGGTTGCACATTGTCTCTTGGAGAGCAAAACATATTTTGCTTGCTTCTTCACTTGGCCCTCCATATCTCGTGTGGGCTTGCCTGCCATTGCTCTTCAACTGCAGAGGGTGGCAGTCTCTGCGATGTCTAGCTTGCAGGCCTGGCCAAGTCTAGAGAAACTACCGTGGAGTTGAAGACAATGAGCGGAAAAAAGAAAGGCGCTGTACTTGATTTCCCATCTTGGCGTACACACGTTACTTCCTTTGATTTTCACAAGGAGATAGTAACTATGCCCCCATTTTACAGATGAGGAAATCCAGGTTCAGTGGCGTGTGTGTGTTTGTGTGTGTGTGTGTGTGTGTGTGTGTTTTAAATTATTTGACCAGGGGTGCATAGCCAGTAGCAGAAGAGCTTGTAGGTTTGTTTTATTTTTATAACAGGCTGGTTTAGGTTTATAGAGAAGCTGTGCAGCAAGTCCATGCAGTCTCTCTCCCCTTCAAGTTTTCTCTCCTGTTAAACATTATGCATTTCTGCCCTCGGTTTGCATCAGGGTTCCTGCTGTGTTGCACAGTCCTGTGGATTTGACAACTGCATAATGTCATGTCTCCACCGTGGCAGATTCATGAAGAATAGTTCATCCACCCGTAAAATGCCCTGTATTCTGCCTATTTGTCCAAAACCTCCCCTTCCCTTCTCCTCCCAGCTTTTCATTGCCCCTCTAGATTTTCCTTTTCGAGGATGGCATATATGTGGAGTCACACAATAGGTAGTTTGTTCAGGTCGCCTTCTTTCACGTTGTGACTCTCACATAAGGTTTCCTTCATGACTTTTCATAGCTTGAGAGTTCATTTTTTATCGTGAGATAATATGTCACTGTATGAACAGCCCACAGTTTACTTTGCCATTCACCTATCGAAAAATAGCATGGTTGCTTCCAATTTGGGGGCAGTTTTGAAGAAAGCTGCTATAGGCATTTGTGTGCAGGATTTATTTGTCGTTTTCATCTCACTCGGGTCAATAACTAGGATGGTGATTGCTGGAGCAAGTGATAAGCCTGCATTTAGCTTTGTAAGAAACTGCCAAACCCTCTTCCCAAAGTAGGCTTCCATTTTGCATTTCCACCAGCAGTGAAGTGGTTTTCTGTTTCTCCATATTCCTGCCAGCATTTGGTGTTGCCAGCGCTTGGAATCTGAGCCATTCCAATAGGAATGTAGTAAGCGGTTCATTTGATTTACACAATGGCCTGGCCCAACTCTGGAAAAGAATACCATGCTGAATGGAATAGAAGGCCGATGAGAAAGAGGAAGATCCTCAAGGAGATGGATCAACAGTGTGACTTCAGCAATGGGCTCCAAGACAATCGTCAACCTGCGGCCGGACCAGGCAGCGTTTCGTCCTATTGTTCAAAGGGTTGCTATGAGTCAGAGCCAACTCAGTGGCATCTAACCACACTATAGCGACAACCATGACTTTGGGAGTCCTTGGGTGGTCTAAACTCACTCTCCTGTTAACCAAAAGGAAGGTGGTTCATAGCCACCCAGAGGTGCTCTGGAAGAAAGGCTTGAGGATCTATTCCCCAAATCTCCGCCCTGGTATCCCTGTGGAGCGCAGGTCCACGATGCCACACGAGGGGCCACCATAGTTGGAATAAACCATCATACGCATGTGCTATTGGTAGTGCAGCAGAAGGCTCACCTCCCATGTAGGAAACCTGGCTTTGACTCTTTGCCAATGCACCTCATGCTGTTGTCTGTCAGTGGAGGCTTGTGTGTTGCCATGACGCTGAACACAGTTCAACAGAGCTTCCAGACTAAGCCCAACTAGGAGCCAAAGGCCTGACCACCAACTTCCAAACACCAGGCAGTGAACACCACTCTCTGATACACCATCTGTCATGGGGAGGCTGCAGGATTGGGCAGCAATCCCGCCCCCCACCCACCAATGTGTAGGGGGTTTCCAGGAGTCAGTGACCAACTTGATAACACCCAAAATCATCTCAACAGTGACATATGATGAGCATTTTTTTTACATGCTTCTTGCCATCTGTAGATCTCTGGTGGGCTTTCTGTTTGAATCTTTAGTGCACCCCACCCTTTTTGGTTTTGGTTTTTTGATTGAGCTATTTGCTTCCTTGTGAAATTTTGAGTTCTTTGCATATCTTTTCTACAAGTCCCTTATCAAATGTGAATGTTGCCGTTATTTTCTCCCAGTCTGTGACTTGTCTTCTGGTCTCTTAACAGTGTATGTTGCAGGGCAGAGGCTAAAAGTTTCTCTCTGACTATTATTTATTTTGCTGTCGAGAAGATACACAGCAAAACATAAACGAGTGCAACAGCTTCTGCAAGGACAATTTACTGACATTGATTATATTCTTCCAGTTGTGTAACCTTTTCACCCTCCCTGTTGAGCGGTTCCTCCCTCATTGACACAAACTTACTGCCCTCCCAGGCTCCTATCTAATCTTCCAAGTTGCTGTTGTCAGTTTAGTCTCATGTGGATCAACAAGTGAGGCTAAATTGTTCTATTGTAGGACGACTTTAGGAACTTTTGATTATTTTTTATATTAGCTCAGGGAAAGACTCTCAGAAGCTCGTCTACCCTCCATGGCTCTAAAAAGTCCTGAGTCCATGAGAACTTGAAATTCTGTTCTGTGTTTCCCCCACTTTATTCAGTATTCTTCCACATCATCTTTGATCAAATCTTCAGTAATGATAGCCAGGCACCATCCAGTTCTTCTGTTCTCATGAAAAATGAGGTAATTCCTCATGAAGACCATTAGCTATGCATTCCATATCTCACTCATATTCTTTTTATGTGCAAGAAAAACTTTATCTCAAAAAGTAAGTATATATCAAGCAAACATCCCAGCCCAACTCAAGTCCATCAGTCCGAGACTAGTCCATCAGTCCCTCTTCAGACTCACGCAGCCACATGCAATGATGCCGAATGCAGGAAGATCACAGGCCAATGGGCAAAAAGTCAAGAATGTTTCAAGGCATCTACCTGGTTCATCAACTAGAAGAGATTAATATTTGTGCTCCTTCCAAAGCAAGGTGATTCAATAGATATGGAGATTATTGAACAGTATCATTAATATCACAAGCTAGCAACATTTTGCTGAAGAAAATTTTTAAATGGTTGCAGCAATATATCAACAGGGAGCTGCCAGAAAATTAAGCAGATTCAGAGGAGGGTGCTGAATGAGGAATAGCTTTTGTTGATGTCAGATGGATCTTGGTTAAAAGCAGAGAATACTAGAAAGGTGTCTACTTGGGATTTACAACCAACTATAGATAACATTGTGAAGAGTGGGAAGTCCAGAATAGTTGTGTGAATGTGGGATCTGTCCACAGACCAATAGAGGCAGTCATTGAAATAGAAGAGGGGGTAGTCCAGGGTGTACAATCAGGAAAGGTCTATATGCGGGTTGTCTACTTTCGCTATGTTTACTTTATTTGTATGCTGAGTAAATAATTTGAGGAGCTGGACTATACGTGAAGAACTCAGCATCAGGATGGGTGGACGATTTGGTAATAACCTGTGATTTGCAGATGACACAGCTTTGTTTTCAGCAAGCAGAGAGGACCTGGAGCGTTCAATGATGACCAAAGACTACAGTCTTCGCACATATTACAAATACTCCAACACAAAGCAAACAAAGTTCTCACACCTGGGCCAGTGAGTGACATCATAATAAAGGAAACACTGAAGTTGTCCGGGATTTTATTTTACTTGGTTTTCCCCATCAAGGCCAGGGAAGCAGTGGTCAGGATGCCGATCCATTGTGAAAACGTGCTGCATGGGGTCTCTGTAAAGTGTGAAAGAGGAAAGCTGTCCCTTTGAGGACTAAGGTGCACCTGACCCAAGCCATGGTCATTTTCAATCACCTCATCCACGTGAAAAAGTTGGACAATGCACAAGGAAGACAAATGGAGAGTCGATGCCTCTGAATTGCTGTGTTGGTGAAGACTATTGGTATACTATGGACTGTCAGAAGAACAAGCAAATCTGTTTGAAATACAGTACAGATAAAATACTCCTTAGAAACAAAGCTTTGTGACACTTCATCTCACCTACTTTAGTCATGTTGTCAGAAGAGGCCAGTCCCTTGAGAAGGACATCATGGATAGTAAAGTTGAGAATCAGGGGACAATAGAAAACCCTTAATGAGGTGAATTGACACCGTGGGTATACAACAATGGGCTCACGCATGTGAGAATGATGTGAGAATGGCCAGGGAAATGTTTTGATCTGCTGTATCTGACCTTGCTATGAGTTGGAACAACTTGTACCTGAATTATGGTGCTGGAGAAGAATACTGCAAGGACCATGGACCGCTAAAAGGGAAACCCAAGCTGTCTTGGAAGAGGTATGGCCAGAGTGCTCCTTAGAGGTAAGGGTGACAAGACTTTGTCTCTTGCACTTTGGACATTTGTCAGGAGAGACCAGTGGCTGCAGAAGGACATCATGCTAGGTAAGGGGGAAGGGCAGTGAAAAAGAGGAAGGCCCTATGCTGTAGGGTCATGATGAGGTGGTGTTGACTCGGTGACAGTGAGTGAGTTCTATATGGGAGCCCTGATGGTGCACTGGTTATGTAATGGGCTTCAACCCCAAGGTCAGCAATTTAACACCACCAGCTGCTCCATGGGAGAACGATGGGGCTTTCTACTTCTGTAAAGGGTTATAGTCTTGGAAATCATAGGGGTGGGTCTAGCCTGCCCTATGAGTTGGTATCGACTTGATGTTTTTTGCTTTGATTCTGTAGATGCCAAATCTAGTTGGTTTATAGTATTATTGTGATCCTCTGTTTCTTTGTTGTTGTTCTTTCTAGATGGTCTGTGCAATATTGGTAGTCATATATTTAGACTAGGGAGAAAGAGGTCGTATAATAGTAGTATTATTTATTTCTCCTTTCGGTTCTATCGATATCTGCTTCTTATAAAGATGACGTCTTAAAGCCTATTTTGTCTGATGTTAAGATGCCACCCTGCCCTTCTTGGCCTGTGCTTGCATGGCATCGTTTTTCATCTTTTCACTTTCAACTATTTGTGCCCTCGGGTTTAAGGTGTGTGTCTTAAAAACAGCATACAGTTGGATTGTGTTGTTGTGAGTTTTTGTTCTTGTTTTGTTTTGATGAATTTCCCCTTTACTCCTGCTTACTGAAGGCTTTTGGATCATGAGTGTTGGATCGTGTCACAGTCTATTTTCTTCATGGATTATATGCTTTTCCGGGTTTAGATTTTGATTTCTTTGGTCTTTCCATCATACCACACAGCTGAGTGACATCACAAGATCTCCAAATTAGGATCAGTGGCAACTGATAGAAGCCAAATACATGGCAGGGCCACTCAATTATCATTACAATCAAACACTGAATGGAAGTAAACAAACATGTACACCCCACCCGCCCCAATAGTTTCTTTATCCAAATCTACATCAACCTCTTCCTCTGCCTTCCAAGCTACTGGTCACACATCGGAGGAAATGGATTAATAACCTATTCATTCAATCATTCATTCACTCAACCAGTAATCGTGAAGTGGCTTTTATATGTGAATCAGGCAGTGCAACAAAGATAAGTCCAGGATCAAAACTAAGCCTATTGCTGCCCAGTTGATTCCAACTCACAGTGTGTCACGTGTTATCAAGCAGAACAGTTCCATAGCGTGCTCTTAGCTGTAACCTTTATGGAAGTAGGTTGTAAGGGCCTTCTTGTGTGGTGCCGTGGGGTGGATTGAACTGCCCACCTTTAGGTTAATCGTCTAGTGTAAAACATTGGTGATACCCAGTGGCCTGATAAGCCCTAGGAAAGGAATTCTGATTAGATACCTGTTGGTATAAAAGTAGAGCAGTTTTTCTAACCATTTTCCCCTTCTCCTCCAATTTTGAGGTGTGACTGTGAATGGAGAGTTAATCGGGGCCCCTGCTCCTCCAAATGGCCACAAGAAACAGCGCACATACTTCCACACGATCACCATCCTCATCAATAAGCCAGAGAGATCTTATCTTGAAATCACACCCAAGAGAGTCATCTTGGATGGTGGGGAGCGGCTGGTCCTCCCTTGCAATCAGAGTGTGATGGTGGGGACTCGGGGACTGGAGGTCTCAGTATCTGCCAATGCCAATGTCACCGTCACCATCCAGGGCACTATTGCCTTTGTCATCCTCATTCACCTCTACAAAAAGCCAGCGCCCTACCAGCGAAACCACCTGGGCTTCTACATCTCCAATAGCAAAGGCCTTTCCAGCCACAGCCACGGGCTCTTAGGTAAGCACTACAGTCTTATTCACATTGAATTCAAAGGACGAGCATGAAATCTCCCAAAGTGAAGCTGACATTGCCAAGATCTTTAGCTTGGTTGGGAGATTCAGTAGGAGAATGTGCATGCGTATGCATATGTGCATGCCTGTGTGTGGGTGTGGGTGGGTGCGTGCACACATTTGTATATATGTGTGATAGGAAGGCAGCTTTTGTCTCCTGATGACTTTTGGGGGTAGGAACAGGTTTTATAAAGTTCTCTCTAGCATTCTGGGAAAGCATGCAAAGAAATTGAGAGTATTCATCTTAACATCTGGTTCTTTACCACTCGGCAAGAAGATGCAAATACAGGGCGATCCATGGCCCAGCACTGGACACGAGACCTATATCCCTTCCCTCAGAGTCAGTCACGTTGCTATGAGCAGCCAGTAGCCTACTCTGGCTTGCTCTCGGCCACTTTCAATTTCACCTGGAGCCCTAACCCCCAGAGGAGAGAGCAAGCCCGGCTTCAAAGGCAGGACGTCCTGGCACTTGAGCTGGGGGCCTTTCTGTGCAGCCTTACTGCCAAACCCGAGCCCCCTCTCACCGATGCAGGCCTGCATGCCATTGGCCTCCGAGATGCCCTCCCTTGGCCTCTAGCATTTTGATTTTGAGTATTAGCAGTAACTGAACTGAATATTCTTCACTCCCCAACCCCAGTCCACAAAATGACAAGCCGGAAGGTGACCCTATATCTTCATGACCTTCCATAATCAGGAAGGAAAGGGGGCAAGACCTGACCCAACTTCTCGGTCAGTTCCTGTCTTGTCCCCAGCCACTTCCTAGGGGACCGGAGTGATTTTGATGTTGAGTTCGTCTGAGAGACGGGACAGCTTCCAGAAAAAGCAGGTTGTTATGAATCAAACCTCAGCTCTCTCCTCTCCAAAAAGACTCCTGGTGACCTGACCCTCTAGGACAGAGTAAAGCTGTCCCACACAGTTCTCAAGGCTATCTATCATCTTAAGGGAAGCAGATTGCCACAGCTCTTTTCTACACAGTCACTGGTGGGCTCAAACTGCTGACC